TCATCCGTCTCTGACCTCTTCGTCTCTTTCAGCGATTCGGACGCGGAGGTTTCACGGTCCACGGCGCGACGGAGGGAGACGGAAGATCCAGCGTAGCTTTGCCACCGCTGCGACCGCCCCCAGGTTTACGGAGTCGGTCGGAGAACGCCGTGCAGCGCTACGCGTCGCTACGCGCCGCGACGCGACGCGACCGTGGAAGGGGCGCGCGTGTGGGAATCGGAACACCGAAAGAGTTCTCCGAGCGACTCTCCGTCCCATCGGCATGGGAAAATTGCGATTCGAGATGAACCATGGATTCGCGACGCAACCTCCTGGCCTTTTCGCGTTTCTCGGAACCGCGACGATCGCCGGGGATTCTCGCGGCTCGTCCGCCATTTTGGATCGCCGTGTCGGGGAATCTTTTAATTTAATCTAGCCACTTTTGTCCCTGACCGCTCCCTCCATCGCGTGTCGCGCGATAGTTTAGGTGTAGACTGCGCGATCTGGCCAGTGAAAACACGTCGACGCGTAACTGGCGTTCAAATCCCCGCGTTCCGAGTACAATTTCCGAGTTGCTCGCTCGATTTCACTGCATTCACGCACCGAAAGTAGGTGTACCTGGCATGCGCTGTTTAGACATTCGACATTCGATTAATTCGTTTCGAGCGAACCCTGCAGCTTTGCGGATTCTTTTAAAAGAATTCTCCTTTTAAGAGGTTTCTGTCGGTCAGAGAGAAATCTCTCGACGATAAGCATCCGGAGGTGTTCGAAATCCCTGCTCGAAGAGCTAACTTGAGCGGATTAAGCAACAATAGAAACTTCCCTTGTTTGAATCCAGCTTCCTCTTGTACAGATCCACCGAGAGCGGGACCAGGCGGTATCCAGACTCCTCCAATCAACCGAACCCCACCACCGTCGACACACCGAAGCAACAAACTCCACGTACACACGTAATCCAAGAATGATCGTGGAATATTTGCCAAGAGTCCTTGAACCCTAGAGTTTCCGGGGTCGAACACGGTACACGATCAACGTACGTCGTGCTCTCCGATCTCGATCGTCGGTGATCACGTTGGTCCTGGGAATCGTCGTTCGAACACTATTACCCCGCGGCTGGCTCGTAAGGCCGTCCAGAGATTTCCCCGAAGGATCGAACCGGATCGAGCGGCGATCACCGGGCTCACGGCGGAGCTCGCTCGTCGATCGACGCGTCGGATCGTCGCGTATCCGGGAACGATCGCCGCGAAGGACGGCAAAGGTAAGGGTACCTAGACTTTCGAAGAGATCCATGTCCGTTGACCGGCAGCGTGGCACTGAGGCTCTTAAGCGCAGGCTCAATGAAACCAGCAATCGCCAGGAATTGCCTCGAATTGGCCCAATCAAACTACCCCCATTCCGTGTGTACACGCGTATATTAACTGCTAATTTCATCGGCGGTAATTAGCGCGCGCGGCTGTCACGGCGCGCTGATTTAATTGCGGCTCGCGGAGAGCCTACCTCCTCTCCCGTCCGTCCGCCCCCGCGCGCCGTCTTTTCCGCTGCGATCCGCTCCTGGGGACCGATCGACCGGCTGCCACCGGTTCCCGCTGCTTTCCTTCTCGTTCCGGCACCGTTAATCGCTTTGTTTACGGCTCGTCGGGATCGACTTCGATGGACCCGCTGGAAAAGAAACGAGCTTCGCTACCACGGAGAACGCGATCGAGCTTTCCGGACGTGTGTGCTTGCGGATTCCTCGCTGGTAGGTTCACGCTTCGAAGTGTCGGTTCGTGTTCGTTCTTTCCTGTCCGATCGCTAACAAACGCATTCCGAACAAAATTACAGGTGAACCTTAGGGGGACTCTAAACTTACGGTTAGCCGCTTGCTCGAGCAAACTTTGAAGGTAATCGCTTCAGTCGCAATCGTATCGTCGAAGGTACATTCTTGGTATATCTTCCGATGGACGCAGGCTGCCAGCTCCGACATCTGGGACAAGACGTCTACGATTCGCCGACGGTGCCCGGATGCGGGTGAACCGCAGGACATCCGCGGGCCCAGGAGCCGCTCGTCCGTCGCGAGGACGCCGCGAGGACGCCGCGAGGACGCCGCGAGGACGCCGTCCGAGCGCAAGAGCGAGAAGTCGGCAACTTAACTGGCCTAAATGGGTTTAACTCGATGTGATTTTGCTGGCGAACCACTAAATTGAACGAATACGAACTAAACTGAACTCAACTAAGCTAATCATATCACATTACTAGCGTTATTAGCCGAGAGACGATATAAGTGAAGGCCCGGTGATGCCAGGCTGCAGTAACGGGTCGCCTCCTGCGCTGACCCTCTGACGCGACTTTTCTTTCGACCCTTATCGGGGACCGTCGCGACCGTGTCTTTCCTATCATTCTTCGCGTTGCCCTTTCTCTCCTTTTCCGCGACTGGCCGCTGCCCCAAACACTTTCCTCTGTTTTTGTACCGCGCGAAGAAATGGTCGAGGGTCGCTTCGGTTCCCGCGGTAATGGCGAGGTGGTTTATTCGGGAAACGGAGGAGCAACACGTGGTTCCGGCAGGCGACGCCGGCCGATCGCGTCCGAAGCCGTGGTGCGTCTCGCCGTCGCGGAACAGGAAACACGTGCCGGCTTGTAGTATGAAAAGTGACTCGCGCGGGAAACGCGAACCGCGACGCGGGGGATGCTGCTCTTCGGATTTAGCCTGTGCATGTCTGGAATTATTCTGCTGTGTCCTTCGATCTTTCTCATTTTAGAGGCTTCGGGTTCTCAGTGTTGACACGGCTAACGTCACAGTGCTAGTCTATAGTCGTAGTTGTTTATTGCGTAGTAGCAGACGAATAGGATTAGGAATTTCCTAGTAGTAGTGTCGAGTGAACAACTTTTTGCTAATTGATTGTAATTGATGGTAAGTGTGACGGTCAACTATATGCTGCGATTCGATTACCGAATTATCCTCTAGAAAGTTGACGATAGGCCTTGTTTTCTTTTTGCGATTTTTCTTATTTCTTCGTTGATTGTTCCTAGAAATCTAGCCAACTTTTTACATAGCTATAGCGTTATCGAAAAACAGTATTATTACTAGGAAATAGAATTATCAAGGAGACGAAACTGCATTAGGTACAGTGCCTTGTTATTTTATTCGTATCTGTTGACTCGAAGTAATTCCATTGCTATAATGAAAATATTTTTATTCGGCGGAACCTTCTTCGAAGTAATTCGAATGTCGAAGCTACGTGAACATTGATGATTGCGCGATATTATTAAATCTTTCTGTTGTAAGATTTCATGCAACCAAAGATGGCGGAGAACGTCGAAGAAGAAGGGCGAGGAGAGGGACGGCAGGATTAATTATCCCCACTCCCGCTCGTCGAACAGTAGAGAGGGAAGAGACCTGGAAGAAAGATAAGAACGAAGCGGCCACGATACGCTACGCTCCCACCACCTCGACGAGAAGGACAGAAGGAGTTCCTGGACTCCACCTATTCCCCTTCCGAACCTGTTGTCCTTCGACGACGAAAAGCTACGCTACCAATGTACTTACCCTCGTCTTTCACGTAAACCGGACCGTACCGAATTTCTCGATTAAACGATTAATTATTCCAGATTCTCGTGTTTACGAAAATAGACGCTTAGAATCGGAAGTTTATAATCGATGCTGAATCATGGTTGCCAAGTTACCGATCGGAATCGTTTTATTCGGGTAGTTTTAAGGATTCACAAGGGATTTACTATTTGTAATTTATATTTCAGCTCAACAGCCACAAGTAAATTGCATTTATTTCTAAGAAACTTTATGGTAGTAGTCGCAATAACCAAAATGGAGTGAACATTCGAAAGTTGAGATACTAGAAACTAAGCAAACGCGCGCGTGACTTAACACTCTCGATTACTCTATCGCGTGTGAGTCGAGTGAGAAGCTTCTTCGCAACGTATCAAAGATTCATTCGATTTATTTCTCCGTAGCTTAAAGAATCTACAGAGTCGCGTAAAATGGTAAAACTACAAAGTATTACACCTACTAGAAGTTTTATAAATTGCAGGATTTTCTAATATTCTAATATTCTACTATTCTAATATTTTAATGTTTTCCTCATTTGAGATACAGGAAAACGTTGAACCAGTAATAACCAGTTTTCGAAACTTGTCCTTTCGTTTGGTAAAACACAGCGTTGACTTGGCGAAGCAAAAACCATAGAATGAATTAATTTCTCCGTAAAAGTATATATAGACCGAACGATGAAAGCAGGGGTTCCTTTTTGCGCGCAGCCACTGTCTTTGCACACATTTTTGTCCGTTTTTCTCTGGTCTTTTTTTACGTCGTAGGTATGCCCACCGGATAGTATAGCCGTGTGCCCGCAGTGCACGCCAGCAGGGCCGACCAATTGAGCCTGTTAACGTCAATTGGACTGAATTAGTTCAATTGGACGTAATTGCGCGAAGGCGACGGGGAACCTCCGCTACACGCAGGCCATGCTCGCGTTCCTCTCGAGGATAGCGTAGCGGGTACAGTTCCAGTATACCCGAACAACGAAAACATTCGAAAATATTATTTCTTTCCTCTCTTTCCTCTCTTTCCTCTCTTTCCTCTCTTTCCTCTCTTTCCTCTCTTTCCTCGAATCGTTCGATTAGCAAACGTTCGGTGTACGATGTAGATCAACGGAGTCGAGATGTAGACGAAACTCACGATTCGTCCGTCGGAAGCTGCACTAGATTTTTCGGAGACTCCTTTCTTAATTACTTTCAACAGAGAGGAAATAGGTGTTTCAATTTGAAATTTCAATTTGGACGTGTCGAAGTTTCAAACCTTCGAACCTTTGTTTCCCAAAGGCTCCAGTTTTCTTGGAATCTTCATTTCCGAAACAGTTCCACGTCCATTCGAGATAATACCAACTTACCAAAACGCTGTAACATCAAAGGTCAAAGAAGCCCAAGCATTTCGATAGCCGACATAAGAGGTCTCATAAGGGTCGATTTCACTCTAACCGAAAGTATCGATGTTATCTTCGAACGACAGCCACCCTCGGATATGCCGGTTCCGAGTTTCACGTGGAACCATGACCATCGGAAAGGTGGCACAGAGACGCAATTATGACGGCGATACCCACGAATTAGCGTGCCCACATGATCCGCGGCGTGAGATTCCCCGATCGAGATCACAATGAAACGTCTACTATTTTTTTCCTCCCTTTCTTTCATTCTTCTCTCCCTTCACCCCCATAGCAGGACGCGTTGCCCCGCAGCCGACGCCGTGAGACCTGGCGCGTATCATCGGCATTAGTCACTTTATATCATGCTGGTGTATTTTCACGCATCGAAGCGTAGGAAGACCACGTAGAGACTTTCACGTATTTTCGGATACAACGAACCCACGAAACTTTTCGGACACACGTCCATTCACCGATGCAATTGTCGATTCTTCGAGTTAGGTCTCTCTCTCTCTCTCTCTCTCTCTCTATTGTATTCGAGGAAATGGCCGACAGGTGGATGCCCGTTATTGATACTTTGCGAGATATCGATGCTCTGCGAAGGAAACTCCTGGTGCACTTTGAATTTTTCCCAAGTTTTCGCTGATCATCAATTATAATATTACACAGTTATAGTTGTTGCTCTAACCACTGTGAAATCTCATCAGTGTGGTTGCAATGTTACAAGAGCATACATCGGGTGAAAACGAATTTCGATTGTATCGTGCAACAGGTGGTTTCGTGCACTTCCTCGGCCATTTTACGTATTTAATTCAGTTGTTTACCGTCAGTGCTTAGAAAGTTTCAAAGTCAGACATCTGTAATTAGTAGCACAAGTTTCGCAGAATCGCATAGCTAATTATGAAGTTGAATTATCACGAACAAGATTTTCGACGACGAAACGGCTTCGTCAGAGTTAATCGCCCTTAGCAATTAACATGGGGCTTAATCGCGCTCCTGGATTCGGAGATCGTGATTCAAAGGAGAAAATGTAACGTCGCGGAGCTCGGTGACGTCGCATCCTTATTAACCCGGCGCAGTCACATCCGTCGCCGTGTCCGTTCGTATTCACATATAGGGTGTTTCTCTTAATGACACCTTGTTTTCTGGATTTCAAACGAACGTTTGTTAGAGTAAAAGACAATCTCTAATCCGATAGGAACAAAATATATTAGAATTTTATTTAATTTCGACAAATTCTACTTTTTCTCCTAAATATTTCATCGTCACAGCAAATATAGATTCGCGATTCTACATAGATATTCCGTTTTTCTCCTAGCTAACGATCGAAACGAACGATTATCGAGGGAAGTTGTATCGGTCATTATTGAGAAGGATAAAGCTTCGAACGCAGTTGCGAAAGAAATCGCGAGGCAAGGGGTTAACGCGTTTCTCCGTCAAATAAAAGCACGATCAAAAAGTGCTCGGATCAAATTGACCCGGGCACCGCGAGGGTTAAGTGCGGGACGCGTGAAAGCCGAAGGAACAAGGCCTCGGCCCAGATTCTCACGAGAATTCGGCGCGGATTCCTCGGTGCTCGACACTTAAATCCACATTCGACGACCAATTAACCGGCGATCTGTGCCCTCATGTTCCGTGAGAACGAGAAATTTCTATTTCTCGTGACGGGCACCGTCACACGGGGCGGGGGATCGAGAGAACTCGGTCTATCATCCCGCATAAGATCGCCGCCGCGTATATAATAATAAGAGGACTGCGGGTGGGAATTTACGAGGACGTCTTTGGATCTGATTACACTGGACTACTCTGTGTTTGCGGGCTGCCCGGGGCTGAGACCCCGAAACTGCGCCCATATAGGAAATGTGGCGTAAACGAATCGATCGTTAATCTCCCCTAAGATCTGCCTCGGATCAAATTCCTGACAATTTACAATTTTCCAATTGTTTCGCCTTCTGTTTTTCACTCTTTTCCGATCGGATGTATTTCGCGCGAACTTATTAACGATGCGACTGTGGACGTATTGTCGTAAAGGATTGACACGAGTGTTTTATTGAGTGGTTTCGGGCCACCCTCGGCGGAAACCATATGTTTTATTGCGAGCATGCTGGCGAGGATGACTCTCGCCGACACGCGACCCGCAGCTACCCTTAAACACTTAACTGGCGATTTCGCTCGGGAGCGAGAACGATATCCGTGGAATTCTTTACCAGTTCTTTGTCGTTCGAATCGCTTGAAGCACGAATTGACAAATGTCGGGGGGATCTTTCAGAAATAACATGGATAAATCGGATGGTCTCTTTCTCGAGGGCCTTATTGGATTACATTAAAAAAAGATGGTGTCGTTTATTGACGTTTCCACTGGTCGTAGCTTGCGTTAATTTCCATTAGAATTAATCGATGTCTCGGGTTGTCTTGTTAATTAGAAACTAATTAATTATGCAGATATCTCTCGAATACGATAGATTCTCGATTCATTTCGAATGTTTGAGAACATTGCGGCGCCATCTCAAGTCTGTGCTAGTATTCGAAATTATCTTGTGGACTATTACCCGAAAGTTGGAGCGTTTCATCACCGATGGCGCCACCATTGTCCTCGATGATCCGTCGATAACGTCAGCTTACCATCGGTGAGAGTAGCGTGAAACCTCTGCTGGAAGCTTGGGCGGTTCTCCACCGATGGCGCTACCATCGGGCAAACTTTCTTCCCGCGAGAAACGATTAAAGTATCAATGAAATTATTCCTCGTTTGCCAATAATAATCGAATCTAAATCGAATTTTGCTGAAATAACTGTCGATGTTAATATCTTCTTATCGTTCCTACCGTGAACGGTCGGCCTGGAAAGTTGCTCGGTGACGTTAACGAGGATTAATAAACGCCAAGTCGGTTGTCAAACGGGGCAGCATTCGCCGGGTAGCAGATGCAAATACGCATATTGAATTTGATCCCATCGCGAGCGACTGGCAACCGGCTGAAAATATCGCAGCCGGTCCGCCGGCAAAGATCCGTGAGGTCAGTCCACCGAGTACAGATGAAATTAGCTGGAGTAAGGGAGAAATAGGAGAAGCCGGTAAATACGGCATAAGAGAACGAAGGGACTACTGCGCGTATTATATACACCGAGTTTAGCTCTATACACACCGAGCTAAAATCTACTCGAATCGTAGCTTAGAAAGTAATTCAATCTCCTTCGTTAAATTTCAGCTGCAATCCGTGAGCACTTTGAGCAACGTAATTAACAGGTTTTGCCACAACTCGACAGTTTCCAAAGAGAACTATTCATCTTAAACGGCGATAGTTGAGAGACAATATCGATAAGGAAAATAAAAATAGCCGAGCCGAATGGCTAACGAGGAGACTAGGAGTACGAAACGGCAGAGCATCGTTGGAACTAAAAATACACGGTGGAACTTTTTGCAACCGATGAAAAACAGTTGGCATTCTAGCGTGGACCTTTCTTTGAATTCATAGAGGAAGGTCCAACATGTCTGCCCGACGACAGGCGTATCCTCAAGCTCGAAAATAGACCGTGGCGTACTGTTCCACAGCTGTTAACGCGCGGGGTGTATCCGTAATAGCTGTACCGAGGAGCAAACCGAGCGAAACAGTGTTTGGCCGCGGATAATTAAACGTTTATAAACACCCGAGCGGAAAGGCGGTGGAGATTCCGCAAAGGGTAGGGTTGCTAACGCGGTGCCATCGGTGCAACGCGCCAAAATTCGCAACGTGCAAGGCCGTGGTAAAATCTCACCCACCCCCGCCGGCTGATTTGTTTCGCCGGCCTATAGGCTTCATTAAGGAATTCTTTCTTTACGCGAGATCGTTAACATTTCGTACGGCACCGCGGCCAACAAGACCGACCAAGACGCTCGAGTAGAGCATATGGTAATTCACATTTTTACCGGTTTCGTCGAATGTTGGCTTGCGGCGACGGCAATGATAGTTCGGTACATTACGATTACTCTTGTACAGTAAGGTGGTCAAGATAATCGAAGACAAGTGTCGCAACGAAGAAGTCGTCAGTCTTGAGACATCATCGGTCCTTTGGTCTAGCAAAACGGTGGCCGTGAAATTGGCTACGTTGACCATTCTAAAATCGTGCCAGAATTTCTTGCCAAATTTAATTGGAGCTCCGCTGTGTCTGCTGCACGCGAGAGTGTATATACGTGTATATATTTATATATATATATATATTTTTTCTCTCGTTTTCTCGTGATCAAGATATCGATAACCATTCCTCGTTTCGACTTAAAAATCTCGGCAATCTCATAAGTCGACCGATTAATGAAACTCATTTGATTCCATCGAATGAGATTCTCATCGAGTCAGAGAACCAAAGATAGCGAGAAAAGTGCGAAAATACGCTATCTCTTTTTCCGGA